ACCACCAATATGTACTTTTTGATACAGCGTAACTCGAAAACCGTATGGAATACAAAAAAACCGAGACCACCTCCAGTGTTGGGCTTTACATGCTCTACAAAATGCAAAAAAGAATGGGTCTCTAGCATTAACGGTTCCCGAATTAGAGACAGTTTTCAGTTTCGGTATCTTATGGCCGCTACTCCTGTGAAAATGCACCGATTGACCCCAAATTCACGGAGATGAAAGATGACCTGAAGGGTAACACTTTCCAATAATATTATTGGTTAAGTCTGTGTGGTGTCTGAATAACAGGGCAAAAAATTTTTTTTTCGTAAAAAATTTCATTTTTTTGAAAATTTTGGCCCATTTGACCTTGAAGTAAAGGTCAAAGGTCAAATCCGAGGGTATATTTGAAATCTACACATATGACTTTTGGAAAGCCGTCTGTAGAAAATTTTCCCGTAACTCCTTCCGTAGGGTAGATAATTAGCATTTAATTTTGCCATTTTTGGACAAGGGTGCATTGCAATGAGTGCCACACCCAGACCCCAATACCGACAAAGCCCAAATTTTACGTGGAACGAGTTGAGATTATAGGTGACCTAAATCCATGAGATGGGTATGGGGGGCCTTACTGTCTAGGAGGAGAAGCGGTAACGGTAGCCGTCCGGCGGAGCCGGCGGAGCCGGCGGAGCCGGCGGAGCCGGCGGAACGATCCGGACGAGACCGAAACCATGTGTACCGCCAGCGCTAACGCTGGTGGTACAATAAACTACTTGTAAAACATACATACAGTCAAGGATAAGTACAAAAATTGCACTTGTGAGACATTCGTTGCACGATAACTCTACTGTTAAAATGCTTTTTTGTCCTTCGTAAATTCTTCCCAATCTCAATGCGATATCACTTCCGATATCACCAATTTTCTTCCCGTACCACCGTCTTACGTCTGCCTCCAACGGTTCTCTGTACGAGACTCCGAGTCCTTCATAATAAAGTCAACAAAATCCAAAGTCAACAACAAATTCAACCAAAATAACGTTAAAAACAATAATAAGCGGTTCTCCGACTCCTTTACATGCGTGTTCATAAACATGGCGGCGCTTGAACTGACGACGGCTGGTACACACAAATCGATGACGTACAATGACGTCAAGAAAAGCAAAGGACTGCGAAAAAATCTAAATTAATTTGGTGCCAACTCACCAGCAGGGGTAATCCTAGAGAGGGGTAAGAAACGTCCATTGTTCTCGTCAGTGAGGCTAACCGAATTCAGGGTATGTACGCACAGACAGAAAACCATGTATTGTGGGAACGTTACTAATGAAGCCACTGGTAGTACTAGTAGACATCAGTCTGTAGTCTAGAACAAGCACCTTGTTGACGAGTGAACAGTTGTCAAAAACAAAAGACCCAGGTGTGGTAGATCGACTTCTGTTCGCGCGTGCCGCAAAGACCAAACCTAATTGCTCCTCAAGGTCACAAAACAATATCCGGTATTGACGGCCAGGCTCGTCTTAATCATATAAGTAGCGCGTTTCCACCCCCTGTCACCAGGTCTGGAGGCTGCCATTTTGGACAAGTCACATGATCAAATTTCTATCCAATGAAAAGACCCCAAGTCCTCCAGAGCAAAGCTGTTCAACCTAGAGGAGTTCCCCAATATCTTTACATCTGTTAGGAAAACAGGCTTATTATTTAACCACAAAATAATTCATTTTTCTAACTAAAACATCGAAACAATATCCAGTGCATTTTCTACTTTGCATTTGTCTAAAATTAACTTGCAGTTTATTTCTAGAAATTATGCGGTTAGGGGGAGTCGTGCAGGGTTATCCCAACAGCCACAGCCGACCGAAGTCTGTCGTGTTCTTCAATGTGTGACTTTTATAGCTCTGAAGTGACACCAGGGCGTCAACCAATATTGACCACGATGATGCGAAGCTACAAAAACTGACCTCGTACCATTAAGAAACAAAAGCGATACTGTTATTGGGACGGTCTTGTCAGAAACGATGATAAAGAGATCGACGACAACAGCAGTAACAGTGACACTCCTGTGTGTACTGTGTGTCGGTGAAAGTCAACAACAGGCCCCCGTTACAACTTTAAAACAAAAAGCACAGGATTTTAGTGAGTATTCTTTTTAACTGAATAAGCTAAAGGTGTTTACACGTTTACTTGCCACAAGATTCACTGATTCATTCTGTGAAACTAAGTTCACCGAATGGAATTTGATATCAGGCAGTGTAAGTAAATTTGAGGAAATGTGATATTGAAAGTGAACGTTCGACTCTATTTTCATGTGAACACGTACTGTTTTATGATACAAAAGTGTGTCCTGTGTATAAATGCCAGCCATTTTGACCTATAAAAGTTATAGATGACTCATGCAACCAGACATCCAGACCGATTATATACAGTGTTTGCCCTACAAATACAATTTCACCTATCTATATCTTCCACACCAGTTAATTAGAGCAAATTTTAGAAAAACTGATAATACAAAAATATTGGAAAACTTTCATTCTTGTTTAGCATGACAGGTTCATTACAGAAATAAGTATTATGAATTGGACTTGATTGTCATAATAATAGGTGCTGGACATCTCTCATAGAAGCTTTGTGATGTTACTGATAATCTATACCAATCAGGAAAACTTTTTTATTATTATTTTAAAAAAACACTGGTAATTGGGCATACCCTATGGGTTGGGGCTTACACATGTCTCGAGTTTGTTTTTTATTTATGTATTTTTAATTGTGTACAAATGTTAACTCTGCATAGTTGAGCTCTGTTAACTTTACATACGGGTTATATGGAGTCTTATGAGAGGTGTTAATCAGTCAGACTGAGTTGAAAATATAAAGTGATTACTTTCTTCGGGAATTAAATCCTTGGGACAAATTTAAGTGGAAAATAATTAAAACAGATGTTAAAATACTTGGTGTAAATAGGATCATTTATGTATGACATTTACTCTTGAGGTGTACATGTACTTTGATCTAGTGCCATATTCTTGTCTTGTTCATGGGAAAAAATGGCACACATACATCTAATATTCATATGATACAATGGCTTCTTGGCACTCAGTTTAAAATGAACTCCTTGAATTACATGTGTATTATGTTGAATAAGGATCAGATACACATACAACTTGTTTACTTAAGGTTTTAAAACACAATTATCCTTTTGCTTTGGCTGACCAATACAAGGTACTTGCCAGATGACCATATTTTCTTAAAAATAGACCAGCCAATGAATGGTTATCCACCAACCCCATATGAAGGAATCTAGATAAGAGAAAGGCCATGGTTGAAATTGTCTCATTGGGTTTATTTTGCTATTTTAGTTACACTGCTATGCCATGTCTTTTATTCAAATAAACGGGTGTCTGAATTTCAGTGTCATGTGTCAACACACTGCTCTGTACCTGACACTGTATCTCTGCTGGCTGACATAGCATCCTGATTCACTATGTTTATTTATGGTGTAAACAGTTGAAATAAGTCATTGTTATTAATGGATTCAAACATAAGAGGAGACAAGACTGGCTGAAGGCAGAAATGATATGGTGGTTTGTTTTCATTATGTACACAGTAAGATATGGTACTACAATGGATTGACTTAAACAGACTCAAGTTTTGCTCATTTTATAGGGATGGGATTTATCTAAGATTACATATTTTTAGTGCAGTTTTGCTCCTTTATTTCTTTATTTATAAATGTTCATTTTGTTATTTATTCTACATGGAGTATAGTATTTCCTTGTATCAATTGTCACAGAATTTGAAAGATGTCATTCTTATCACTGATTATTTGAGTTTTTTGGTATTGGCAATACATTATTGATTACACAAAGCTAACTTATGCTTTGCATTGACAACAACACTGTCATTTCCAGTCTCATATCCTGTATCTTATTACTAGTATTTGAATGCTATGTATACACGTAATAGCAGCTTTTGCAGCCGCACACACAAGAAAAAGATATATAAGGGTACTGTATACAGGGGCTCAGCACATATATTTAGCTACTGCCCCTGCATCAATGAGCATGCTGAGGTTCTGTCTTTTTTATAATTAGAAATATGCTGCTCTGATTGATACTAAAAATATTTCCCTCTTCTTGGCTCTCTGCAAAGGTAGCTCACCTGTGTAATAGGGTGCAGGTACTGACCCAATTTAGGGTAAAAATTAGGTAGGTATAAAGTGATAACTGTTTGTTTTGGTCAAAAAAATGGATTTTTCTAGGGTAAAGGATGATTTTCTTTAACTTAGCAATGGTTAATGAATCCATTCCGACATTCAAAGTTAGTCCATGGAATTTTTCTGAAAAGTATTTTTTTTTTTTTTTGTAATAATCTCCTTGAATAAAACAGTGAATCCATCTACCTGCCTGCTTATTGTTTTGAATGCAGCTTGTTTTGAGATGAATTGTTGGAAGAGCCCCAACATACCAAGGAAGCCTTGCATGGTAACTTATAAGGTTGCTTTTCATGATTGTTTCGTATGGACGTAGGTGTCTGGTTCTATTTGTTTGTTTGTTTGTTTGTTTGCCACAGTTAATTTCCATCTGCTAGTGTATCTCTCTGTCTGGCTGGCTGGCTTTGAGTATCCACCCACATCAGTCTTGTCTGTTTATTAGTCTACCTTTATCAGAATATAGATCTGGGCCCTGTAACTCGAAAGCATCGCGTATTGCGAATAGCGATATCACATAGAGGCTACAATGTATATGGGGCAAGTATGGGCGAGTTATGGAATCGGGATGCTTACTTCATTCAAAGGATAACTGGCCACAGAATAACAGTTTTATCCAATCCATATAGGATGGCCTTATCCATTGTTGATGAAACTGGGTCCTGCTGTGTGCCGTTTGTCCATCTGTCAATCTTTGTTTTAAATTGTTTGTTAACATCTGTATATTCTGTCAGGTACCGCTTAGTTATAATGTCAAGGTTGAAGATTTAAAGTAGGGGCAGTACTCTTCTTAATTACATGAGAAACCTTATCACAGAAGAGTGAGATGAGAGATGTGGCCTTTTTATTTGACTAAGACTTGTAAATCACTTGATAGTTGTTTTTGATCTCCTTGCTGTATTTTAAGAACTGAAGGCCATATTATCAGTTACAGCCAAACAACTGTGGAAGTGAAGTCATACATTTTACTTCATCATAACATAAATTTAAATGAATAATATTGGGTTCACATTAACATGAATTATTATTATTAAGCAAAACAAATGAAGGCAGTTAAGTGAACATTTACATGCCTGATGCTACATAGACTCAGCATTTTTATTGGGAAAATTGGAAGATTTTTTTTCTATATAAATAAATGTGTAGTTGAATAAAAGCAAGGTGTTCCAAAAAACTATAGTTCAAGGTCCAAGAAGAAATTAAGCCTGTTTATTTGAGTGCATTATTTACAAGTCATTCATTATTAATTGTTTTGGCAAAACATTGGTAAGGACAAATCATGTAAAAGTATATATTTCAAGCTAGAAAAAAGAGTCCAGATAGACATGAATATACATTACGTACTAGGAGTCGAACAAAACTGTCTAAAGGCAAAAATTAGCATCAATTAACCTTTAAGAGAATAAAAAGGTGTAATGAAATTTACTTTGAGATAGATGTGCTCTTAGAGAGACAGCTTTTTCCTAATGTCATGGTTAGGTAAAGATTGATAACTGTTATGTGGCCTTTACAATGTTTACTCTCTGGTGGCTGATGACTAAGGTCGACTGCAGTGAGATTGTCTTGAATGGATGTTATTTGCAGTACTAATTAGAAATTGGATGACTTCACTTTAATGTATGTCCTCCCTTACTGCTAATTACTGAATGATGTACATGCGGGCACTGTCATGTGCAAGTTTATATATAAATACTAACATGCATGCACATAAACACGTGAGATAGTCCACAAACACGTGCAGTAAAGCAAGCATGCACATTAAGAGTGTCCATCACATGCACTCAGACTTAATCCACCTGTTGATGGCAGAAGTGCCAAACCCAAGCACATACAGTACAGTAATTTAGGGCACATTCAGATTTACTCATCGTATTAGCGGGGAAAATCCAACTCGGCAGGAGATTCTCATTCAAGTCCAACCAGTGTAATCAGCTTAATCAGCACACAAATTAGTTAATAACCTCCTAGCTGCTCAAGGAGGCATATCAGACACTTAAACTGATTCTGTTGATTGCACTTTAGTGAGAATCCTCTGCAGACTTGGACCGACCCAGCTAGTACGATGTGTGAATCTGAATGCCAGCTTAAACTCCTTCAGTTGCATGTTTGCTAATGCATCCAAGTATAAGTTTCACACACAGGTGGTAGTTTGTGTCTAATGTACTCATGTCAAGTAGAATAACAGGTATCTTATATATTAGTATGATTATACGAGCTGTTATGAGCATTGCTATAGATATGTGATAAATAGACATGGATATATTTAGGTTATGGTTATCCATGATCCCCTTCAAGTCTGCTTATATATCATCATGATTTGTTATGGTATGATATATAGTGTTGCACATATATATATATATAGTTGTCATGATTGTTAGACTCCTGCTATTATTTGATAATTTGCCAGTGGTTAAGGCAATGCTTTAAGGAAAAGAAAATAAGACATTTGCTTTGGTAAACGTGCATGATTTTGATCATAATTTTATTTATTTGGCCGAATTTTTCAGCTTAGAAAAAAAATCAATAGAAAGATGATTACAGCATAATTTTCATCTCTCAGAATCTGCCAAGGAAGGTGTATACATTTAGTATGTTTCTTGCGTTTTGTCTGTGTCAGTGATGGGTTCGTGCTACAAGGTATATGTGGCACAGGTCAGACAGTGCTCTCAGAGTTCACATGTTATCTTCACAGGTACAGTTAACCCCTGTCAATACCAAGGAGATAAGAGGGATTTTGAAAATGTTGCTGGTATCACATTGGTTTTGAGTTAAAATGTTAGTTAAGGAATAGATAGAATGTGTCATTTACTGCAGTTTTCCATAGGTTGAAGTTTCACTGTTTATATATTTGTATATATTGGAAATTTGGCAGGCTACCCTACCTTTCTCCAGTCGTTGGCATCTGTTAGGATTTTTAGCATAATAACAT